TTGCCTTTCCCCAGAGTCTCGAGTGATGCCCAGAGCCCGCAGACACTCCCCTCTGCATCATTTTTCTATAGCAGTAACAAAGCCTAGGCAGTATTGTAAAGACCATGTTTTGCCCATGCAGTATCATCTTTCTCTTTACCTGCTTTGTTAACTTCAAATGAAAAGTAACACAAGAAGTATACTGGAAATAAAGTATGCTGCAGAAGTTTCCAGAATAGAAAAGTAGTGCTCAGTTTGTTTTTGGAGCTTCATTCCTAAACCAGCAGCCAATCAAGGCTAAAGGAGTGGTTTGCCCTCCTAGAAAAATGGTTTTTCAAGCTAAAGGACTGATTTGCCCCGCTAAAGAACTGGTTTGTCCTGCTAAAGGACTGGTTTGCCCTGCTAAAGGACTGGTTTGTCCTGCTAAAGGACTGGTTTGCCCTGCTAAAGGACTGGTTTGTCCTGCTAAAGGACTGATTTGCCCCGCTAAAGGACTGGTTTGTCCTGCTAAAGGACTGATTTGCCCTGCCGGAATATATTTTCAGGTTGCATCACATCATCCCAAGATAAGATTTTATATTCCTTAATATGCTTCTCCACCTGAAGCCGCTGGACCACTGGGATGTCAGGTTTGGTAAACACCATCCCACACCATTAACAAACAAAACACTGACAAATGTTATAAGGTAGCTCAGTCATATCTGACCAAGACCTGACTCTGATTTCCTACAAATACTCTAATTATAAACCAAGTGCATAGACTCATGTGATAAAATTGTTGAACACACGGCACTAGAACTATACTTCATAGACCAACTGGCATTCTGTGTGATGTGGTCAACATCACGCCAGTCACTTTTACTTCCCAGGGCTTTATGTGGTACCCACATAGACCTGGAAGCCGAGGTTGTTTTTAAATAATAATTAAAAAAATTGTCAGGCTGTGTTTAGATTTGAACCTACAACCTTCCCATTTGCAGGCAAATGTCTAGCTGCTACACCATGGAGGTTCAGAACATGAGATAACGTAATTATCAATTATGATTTTTTGGTTTTTTTAAACATGATGAAGGTGATCGTTAACAACTTTGATTACCTCAGCCTGGGCAGTGGCACTGTTAGCACAACTCCTATGCTTGTTCCTACCCACAGAAGTCCTCTACTCACAGTAAGGCAGGTCACAACCAAATTTTCTACAGCTCCATTCAAAGTCCACAGTTTTTCTGTCAATAGCATATAACAGAGACTCCATGCAAAAAGATTGTATGCAAAAAGATTGTGTACAGAGTAAATAAAATGTAAAACTTTTTAAAATTTAAAAAAAAAACTTCTAACAGAACATTTTTCAATATCTTAAAATATGTACTTTACTATAATGCTAACAGTGGATTTATAATCATCTTTTGGTGTCTTATCTTTTTTCTGCTTCTTTTGATCGCATAATGAATCACAGGCCCTCATCTAGTTTACATCCACCTCTCTGTCACAGATATTCTCTGAGTCTCTGTCTGTCTGTCTGTCTGTCTGTCTGTCTGTCTGTCTGTCTGTCTGTCTGTCTGTCTGTCTGTCTGTCTGTCTGTCTGTCTGTCTGTCTGTCTGTCTGTCTGTCTGTCTGTCTGTCTCTTTCATGCTCTCGTCCTCTCCCTCCTACTCTCACTCTAATTTTGGTCTTGGTCTATTCATAAGTCCCTCAAAGTATTTAAGAAAACACTTAAGAAAAAAACAAAAGAAATGAAATATTAGAAGTAGAAAATCATATTAATTAATCCGAGTCTGAGTAGAGTAGAATTACCTGAAAAGAGAAGAAAGAAAATGATTGAAAGAAAGAAGATATACAAACGTTAATATGTAGAACATATACAAAGTTCAATAAATCTACACTCACCTGTGCGTATTCGATTTACAAAGTTGCCTATGCTTATTTCTTGCAAGTTCTCTAGGGTTTCAATGTGGAACAACCTGATAACAGAGCTATCATGGAAGGACACCCAGATACCAACACCTGATTTGACAATCTGGTCTATTGGAGACATGTGACTTGTGTTCAGTAAGTGAGTTGCCTGTTTGGAAATTCATTTTAAACATATATATTCATTCTCAAGTCTTTAGAGTTGCTGGAAATATTTCACATTAATTTTGTTTCCTTTACCAGCGTTTTCATTCCCAGTCTCTCTATAACCACTGCATATCCACATCATGAGGTTTTCAGTTCAGACTTTAAAGGGAATACCATGATTTAGTCATATTTTACTAGATGCTTGATAGGGGAGCAGCGGGTCTATTCTTCTTCCCCGTCCAAAATGGGTTCCTAGAACCCATAAGAGGAAGGAGAGAGCACCATTTAACAAACTAATGATGCCATGTGCTTGATCCAATATGATGAGGTCCTCACATAAAGAACACTTTATTAGAGACAACTGAGTTTCAAAGCAAGGTTTTCCCATTATGAATTTGAACAAAGAAAACATAAACAATATACTGCACAATTTCTTGCCTGGCATATTTCATTGTATCTCGTCAGGTGCATACTACGGTAATAATTTATTAAAATGAAACAAATAAATGAATCCTTCAAGATAAAATACAAAATCGACTACATTCAAAAAGTGTATGTCTCACCAAGGTAAACACAAGGTGAAGAGCATGTTCTTTAGTTGCATAATTCTGGACTAAACTAGTTTATTGTTTTCACTTTAATAAATTTAAGTAATCTATGATTGGCTGAAGTTTTTCACCTGACAAACCTGTCCCCACATTTTCACACTATAAAGACACGCTATCATCTAACATAATTGGACCCCCACACAAATAACACCAGAAAGACACTTGCATCATTTAAAATTATCAAGTTCCCTCACATATAACAATATTAACACCTTTGTCAAGGATCTAACATCAGGTCCCAACAAACAACACAGTCAGCACAATGGAGTCTAACATACACAAATAATATATTTAGGTGCTATATATAATTATTTATAAAATGAAAAACATCTTGTGCAATATATCCTTGTCATTGAGAGTTAGAAAAAGAATTCTTGCTTGCTACATACATCCAGTTTTAACATATGGCTGTGAATCCTGGACAATTGGTAGGCAGGCCAAACAATTTCTGGAGGCCTCGGTGTGGTTTTACAGAAGAATGCTTAGAATACCTTGGACAGCCAAAAAGATCAACCAAGAGGTTTTGAAAGAGGCGGGAGCCAGAAGAAAAACTTATCATAGACATCAGAAGGAGACAGTCATCATTTTTCGGCCATGTTATGAGAAGAGGAAAAATAGAACATGTTGTGACTACTGGAAAGATATGTGGGAGGAGAGATAGAGGAAGACAACGAAAAAAGATGCTTGACAGTCTTGTTGCATGGCATGGAGGTGTGTCGGCACATGAACTGATACATGCTGCAGGAGATAACAGATTATGGAGAGGCATGATCGCCCACGCCAGTCAGCAAGGCACCTGATGATGATGATATATATAACACCATATAAAAACACACTGTTATATAACATATGCAGGCAACTACACACATGACACTATCAATGCATTTGAATATTATCTAAGATCACTGGGCCCACATAAATATCATACTATCAATACAATCAAGCCCAATATTTAAAATACATGAGTCCACACACACTTTAACACTGTCAGAGGAGTTAAGGTGAGTTAAGAACCGTCATCATAGCACTCGGGACATTCCCATAAATGCTCTAACCCCAACTTCAGCAGCAATCGCAGAGTTCCAGTTCTATTGTGACTGTATGTTCATCTCATGTTTTCCCTGAGTGTTTAGCGCTGCAGATATCCCCTGGCCACTCCTCACTTTACCCTTCTCTTCGGACCATGTTGGCTCATTGTCTGCCTCCCCACTGTTCACTCACTCCCAAAGGGCCCTTAAAACATTGTGCTTGGCAAGCATCAGTTTACTACCAAGTGGTGCAGAACTAGCAAGTCTATCTAACTGTTTATTTCTCGACCTTTCTCAACATGTCAGTTACAATCATTATAGGTGTGTACCGCTGAAGGCTGCGGTGGCTGCCTCCACCTCCATTCTCAAACTAGTGGCATTAAAATCCAGGCCTTGCTGCACTAAGCAACATCCATTCACTTTTGCTATGAACCCCCATGCACGCGTCTGCCTCATAAAACAGATCCATCTGTATAGATGATCACATCATCTGGGCAGGAACTGTCACAAATTATTTGTTGAACTTCTGGTTATAACGCTATAAAGACAACTGAGTCTGATCTAACATACTGACAACCAATACACATAACCCTATCAACACACTAACATATGTCATCTAGCACACTCACATCCACCACACGTATAACACACTAAAATATGTAATCTTACATACTGACACTCCCACACATAAAAACACTAACAACAAAATAAAATATTCCATTTGACAAAATAAAATATGCCATTTAACATACTGACATCCCAAAACGTATTACACTACAAACACAATAAAATATGACATTTACCATTTACCATACTGACATCCTCACAAATATAACACTGACAACGCAATAAAAATGTCATTAAACATACTGACATCCCCACACATATAACACAATGACCAGACTAACATATGCCATCTAATAAACTGACACCTCCACACATACAACACTATCAACACACTAAAATATGTCATCTAACGTACTGACATCCCCACACATATAAGACTATCAACACACTAAAATGTCATCTAACGTACTGACATCCCCACACATATTGCACTGACAACGCAGTAAAATATGTCATCTAACGTACTGACATCCCCACACATATAACACTATCAACACACTAAAATATGTCATCTAACATACTTAGATCCCCAAAAACAAAACACTATAAAGATACCAGAATGTGTCAGCTAACATACTTGAGACCCCATATAATTAACGCTATCAATAATGGTGCGGCCACACAAAACTTTCAACACACCTGGGTG